TTCTTGTTCCTTTCCATTAATTGACGGGCAGTATAAACTTGAAGTTTTTAACAATTATTGAGAGTGCTTGCACTAATTATTGTGTTTTACAATTTTCCTAATATGATATACGAGAGGCTTAACAACTTCCAGTAGTCTGTGGTTTATAATAGAAGACTGATGATTCAAGTCACTAATTTTCCTTCTTTTCTTCTTCTCGTTGTGTCACTGTGTTTTGCAAGATAAATTGTAAAATTGCGGAATCTATATTTATGGTTGTGTTTTAAACTCGAACTAATTCCTTGCACTTCCAGAATGAATATTTTGACGATGATGAAGATGATTACAATGATGTAGATGAGGGGAAGGTACTGTCCGCTTGGCATCACCGCATGTGCCATTTTTTATACGCTTTGATCATCTTCTATTTGAATATTTGGCCATGGCGTTTCAATGTAGTCAATTTCTAAATTATCATGCTAACCTCTCCTTTTCACTTATTGCAGATGAAGGCATCTACTAAGAGTCTCTGGAGAATGATTTTTGCCCTTTGTCTGCCAGATTTTATGTACAGAGCATGCGGGCATGTGGGTTGGGAGATTATTTGATTGAGCAGGGGCTATAGGGAAAGTATTAATAGAGAATATCTGATTTTTCTCGGAATTCTTCATTTGGAGAAGGCCACAGTGGAGATCATCAGATGCGTTTTGGTATTACAGATAATTGCTGCATGAAAACACGAATCGCCCACTTTTCAAAATACGCGCACCATTACTCTGGATCTTGTTTCACGGGTCATATTGTTCCCCCCCCCCCCCCCCCCAAAAATTTTTTTTCTGAACTACTGTTGTTTATCTGAAAAACGTGAGCTTACTCAGCACAACATTTTATACAAAATGTTAACAAGATAAGTGCGTAAACATAGCCGTAGCCCGCAATATTGTTCCGTCTTTTACAGTAAAATGCTTGAATCATTTTTTTTAAAATAATTATTGTCTTAATTACACAGGTTTCCCTTCCATTTTAAAAAAACATTTTATTCCAAACTTTGTTGACAAGATTTTTGAAGTATTTCTATTAATTGAAAACTGCGCCAGAATAAATCTTATATATTAATTTGTTTTTCATATTAAATTTTAAATTTTTTTTGGGTAAAAAAATTTTTAATTATCTTTGATAGTTATTTTAACATTTACTAGCTATCAGTTTAATATTCTAGTAAATTTAGAAAAATTTGAGCAAATTTTACTTTTAAAAAATCTTAAATTAACTTAAGAGTGACTCGTTCACAAATGCATTCAACAAAATATATCTTAAAAAATTAACTCATATGGAACAAATCCGTTTATAATATTATTAATGTCAATATAATATTTTCACAATCACTATATCATTTGGTAATCTTGAAAAATAACTGAGTATATATTCTTGCATTACAAGACATTTTTGCTAATGCATGTATTTAAAGGATTGTCACAAAAATTAAATAAACAAAATTAAATAGGAAAAATTGCAATTAAAAAACCTGAAATTTAAAAAATATAAATAGGAACCCTTAACAACTTTACTATAACTTTTGACAATAATAATAGGCTATAAAGTTATTAATACCTATAGTAAAGTTGCCACAAATCCCTATCTACATTTTTCAAATTCCAGGATCTTTTTTAGTGATTTTTCCAATTAAATATTTCAATTATTCAAAAAAATAAAATTTAGAATTATAAAATTTAACTAACTTCATGTAATATAATCCAAACTGATTATTAGTTCACCCTCATCAAACGCTCTATTTGTGTCGTAATAGCTTGAATATTGCCGTATGCGGGCAAGACAAGTGAATAACTAAAATGTTTTTTTCTTTTTTTTTTGGGTGACGAGTTAAATTATGAAATATCAGCAAATAAATACGGTAAAGAACCAATCGTGATACAGGCATTTGTTATACATGAAATTATCAACGCTAAGACCAGCTTAAGGGGCTACCTATTGCATTAAAAATTACTACACTATATTACTCTCAGCTCAACATGGGGGTTAAAAAGAACCACCAAGGAAATATCCAAGCCCCCAAAGGAAGACCGTTTGAATTGCTAAAAAGTAGACAACATACTGGGGCGCCGGATGAGGTGGCAGACAACCGGCAGCAATATGGGGATTAAAATATGTTTCCTCGACGTGAAGTTCAGAGATTGGAAGAGAACGGGCAAAGTCTCTGTCTCTGAACTTTCCACCAATTTTGCTATCCCTGGGCTATTTTCCACTTCTCTGGTATGTTGCTTTGCAGTGTAACCTAGCTCATAAAATTAGTTAGGAAAATCAGCTTCAAAATCCAAATGGAGATTTTGTCCTGCTTCCACCTTCTCCGTACATTTCATTCCACTTCCTCAACTCATTCATGCTTGCCGCATCATAGGCAACTGATGGGCCAACCTACACGTTTCATCATCAGACCCGTTTAACATTTCAACTGAATATTTGGCATTAGTCCCAAAACCGAGATTGAACAAACTTTTCTACTTCGTATAAACATAACAATTAGAAAAAATGAAAATATATCACACACCTTTGATTTTGCCTGAATAAAATCATCCAATTTTAGAGGCCTTAATACGGATGTTGGACCACTGGAGCTCGCCTGTATAAACCAAAAAGATACATTATGTAACCTGGCAAAGTAATTCGATAAAAACCAAACATAAAATCCAACTGAATTTTAACTTTCCACCATGAAGCAAGGTGACCAAGGAAAAAATTGCACGACAGAGTAGACCAACTGGAGATCAACATGACAAGTAAGAGCAGCACTTGGCACGTGAATTTCATTCGACAAAGCAAAATTTTTGCACCAAGGCCAAATAGGCGTAACATAGTTTATAAGCTCTGTACCTTCTTTTCGTTCTCTAGCAGCTCTTGAACAGGTCTATATGCCGCAGCAATGCAAAGGTTCTTCCAAACAAAGTCATGAAGGAGTGTGAGATATATGGCAAACTGTTTATCCTTAAAATTGCTTTACATACAAGTTAAAGAAGAATTAGAATATAACCGACACTACTCACCTTCAAATCACTGCCAGAGTATCCCTCAGTTAAGTTAGCAAGTTTGTCAAAGTGAAAATCATGATCAAGATTTTCTTGTGCAAGAAAGATTCTTAAGATCTTCATCCGATTTTCAGCATCTGGCAAATCCACATATATCCTGGACGGTGTAATAACATAATAAAGCTTAGCCAAAAAGTTTTTCCCCTAATTGATTAGAAGCTATAATATTGAAGCATAATTCTTAAGAAAAGTAGGGTAACTTATCACTAGGTCTATTAGAACATCAACTTTCATGCAGTGACCGGATAGCTATATATTTGCCCCATGAGAAGCCCAGAACAAGATTCAGAACCAAAAACATGATAATTGGATGAAGAAAAGGATGGTAAGCCTTCAGCAAATAATTATTACTCCGTGAAAGAAATCTAGTCATTTACCTTCTTGGTAAGCGGCGTATAACAGCATCATCAAGATCAAAAGGCCTGTTTGTTGCACCAAGAATGAGAATTCTTTGACTCTCTTTTGTCCTCAATCCATCCCAAGCCGCCATGAACTCATTCCTCATTCTTCTAGTGGCTTCATGCTCAAAAGCACCCCCTCGAGCACCAAGCAAACTATCAACCTAGAACACAGATTCAAGTCAGAAGCAATTTATAGAGCCTCTGGAGGATAGCTTGATGCCCTCACACAAATTGACACATTTTAAGGTAGCAAACGTGGCCCAAAACTTCGAGATTCAACGGTACAATTATGCTTAACTTTTTCATATTGATTAATCAATTAAAATGCACAACCAAAGTCACTGCAGAGAAGATACATTATTACACTTCTTACTTCCATTTCAAGAAATCATCTGACTTCCTAAGATATACTCTCTGTCAGTGGCATCAACATACAAAACACAAGAGAAACGTGGTTTACTATATCAGAATATAATACACCTTCTCCATTATAAAATGCTTGTTTCAAAAGCAGAATTTGAGTTAATGATATGCACTCAAGCACTCACTTCATCAACAAATATAATGACAGGAGCAAGCTTGCTAGCAAAGGAGAAAAGGGCCTTGGTAAGTTTCTCAGCATCTCCAAACCACTGCATCAACAAAGAACCAAATATGTCAGACATTGCATTGTGGACACACTTGTACAAACGAAAATAATCAAAGAATGTTAAACAACATAATCCTTCCATAAAACCACCGTCAAATTTATGATTGTCCGAGTATCCATGGCACTGATTAAAATGGCAAAAGTTCCAGGACTTATATATCACCTTTGATGTTAGAGTAGAACCAGTTATGCTGATAAAATTTGCGCCTGCTTCTGTTGCAAGTGCCTTGGCCAGAAGTGTTTTCCCCCGTACCAGGAGGACCAAAAAGTAGTATTCCTTTGCAAGGCTGACAGAAGCATCTTCAATATCAGATAAATGAAGGAAAAAAGCAAGTTATATGTTTTAGTTGAAATTGCATACAGGAAACAAGAATCACTACCCGCAACAAGTTTCCACGAGAGAAAAGCTCTGGCCTCCTCATCGGAAGGATGACAAGTTCATTAAGTGCCATCTTCACATCTTCAAGAGCACCTATGTCATCAAACTGCACCCCAATTTCACCAGGAGGTACTACAGCCGAAATGAAGTTGCTCTCATACTCATCCTTTGCAAGGTTCTGTTGCATTTTTTCACAATATAAGGAACATATAAAATGGACAATGCAATAATAGAGAACTTTCAGAAAATAGCATAAATCACATGCCTTCAGACCCTGAGAGGGCTTCCGTGACATGGTTTCTTGATCCCTCAATCTTGAGATTGCAATTTCAAGACTTCAATCATGGAAAAAGAACAAAAACAATCAGCTCCAAAATATTGCCAAGACCGAGAAATAAGAGGATTTATGGTTTACCTTTCACGAGGCAAGCACAATCGTTCTCCTTTAACATATGGAAGTGGGCAAGATGACAAGTAATTATTTTTTGCCCATCCCACCACCTTTTCAGCCTCTGAAAGCAAAAGTAAATAAAGATCAAAACCAAAGCAGTGCGCTATAAAGAATTGCTACCTTGGCATTTCTATAGTAAAACCAGTAAAAACTGAAGAGTTGATTTTCTTCTGAAATTATTTTATTTGATAGAAGCAATGTTACATTTATAGACAATAAAAGGAAAAAGTTGACTTCTACTCCAACTATACAAGATATTGACGTCCCATACATAATGCTCAACTCCATAGCAACTACCTCTTGTGAGTTTACTTAATATTTCCATTAATTTATTTTTGACTTGAGCCATTCTCTGGCAGATTTTAGACAGGATAGGCAGCGGACCGTTGTAGCCCACCTGCACAGGACTAGGATGGCTTCATATAACGTGTCAAATGAAAACAAGCCTTGCAGTTTTACAGACATTGATTTAGTAACTAATCTACATATGTGTGTGTGTGTGTTCTTCCTGGAATTTGAGCCAAATAAACACCATTCTCTTTTTTTTTTTTGGGGGGGGGGGTTCCAACTAGATTTGGTCCTTAATAACTTGATTTTGCATTCCCCCTCGCCAAAACACCCACTTCATTCAGTAAGTTAAAATCATGTGCATCTGCAGGGAAATAAATAGAAGGTACATATAGAAGGATGAAGGAACAAAGGATTATGGCATAGAGGATAAGTGGAATAACTTAGATGCGCATTCTTACTTTGCTTTGTCAGAATAACACCATCAGTATTTACTTGCAAGAGGTCCAAGCATGATAGCTCATGTTCTTCAAGAACCTGCAACGTGAAAA